TTTGCCACTCACCAGCAGCTCATTGAGGCGCAGGTCCTGGGCTCTCAGCTGGACGCCTGCCCCCATCCCCTCCGCTAGCAAGGTTCTTTACCGCCGGGGAGCAAGCGGTTAATTTTACAACGTTCCTGATGGAAACTGGTGAGCTGGTCTTTACGCCGTTCCCTGGAGCATCCATCAAACCCGGACTGCCTCGTCCAGGGTGTCGGGACCCCAGAATGCATTGCAAAATTGGGGTCTCCAGGGCTGACTTAGACTTGCTGAGGCCTGGGGCCAAAGCCCCACTCTCTGAAGCTGAAGCCAACTTTGACCCCCTGCCCAGAGCATCACCCGGAGTAGGGGCACTTGGGGGGGTCTCAGACTTCAGGCCCCCCGGGGGTCATGTAGCAGGGGGTCCTGGTGCAATGACGCTTGAGAACCCCTGGCCTTCTCTAGTCTCATGGCCCAAGCAGAAAGAAAGGCAGCGAGTCATTAGCCAGCGGAAAGGGAGGGGCAGGTTGAACGCTGAGGTGAGTCATAACTCAGGTGAGGGGCTTTGTTCTTTCGAATTGTAATTCCTGTCTTGACAGATGGCGTCTCTTTAACAACCTCAAACGCTGTCCTGCCACACGCGCCGCTAATCCTTGCGACACGCTCCCACCTCTCCCTCCCTGCCCCTCGGCTTCGGCTCGCCCCCGCGGCCCCTCGGCAACGCTTGTTACCTACGCCCTGCGCCACAGCTAGCGGGGCGGGTTGGAGCGTAGTGCCCTGTGGAGCCATTTCACTGACCTTTCATATCAGGCCCTCGGTTCGAGCTGGCTCAGCTGCCCCTTCCCCCCAGTTCCCAGCAAGCTAGGCCCTCGCTGGGGAAGACACAAGCCGGCACAGCACGGGGAGGTGTGTGTGCAGGACACACTAGTCTACCCGGCTTTCCAGGTGCAGGGAGATGTTCCCACTGGGATTATGAAGCAGTGTTACTGCTGTTAGTGCTGGGGGTTCATTTCCCTTTCTTTCCTCCCACATCACGGGGGGGAGGGAGAATTATGTGAGCTCAGGGCACGTTGTAAAGAGGCTTATGGTGTTTACCTTTGCCAGGGCCCACTTGGACTTGCAGCCGATGCTACTGAACTGTGGCGAATGCAATGGAACAGGGAAGCGCTCTAGGGATGGTAAATAACAGCTGAGGAGCTACACACAATGCATCGGGATTCCAGCAGGCAGGAGAGAAGAGAGTCCCAGCGGTGGGGACGAATGCCAAGCGTCTGCACCCTGCCCCTGCTTGGTTCTCAAACAGAGATGCTGCAGGTTTCTTTGAATAGCTTGCAGTGTTCACGCACGGGGGGCCGATCGTTTGACAAAGGGGGAGGGACCATCAGCAACCTTTGACCGACGGCAAAACTGCATGAACGAATGGAAATGATTTCGGGCAATTCAGTGGCAGAGCCAGATGCACCAGGACTCGGCGTCCCAATGCCCAGCTCTAATGTTTCCTCGTCTTTTCCCATGCATGTGCAGAATAATGTTTTATTTGCACCAAGGCATGTGGGAACGTGCACCACCTACAGAAACACAAAACCTAGTTGCGGGCGCTGTGCTAATCAGCTGGGCGGCATCTGCATTTGTCTTGTGCGGCCGCACAAGTGCCCAGCGTACAGGGAACGCACCCGCCCGCTGAGGCTGTCTGTTGTCACTCGGCAGCAGACACGCAACATTGCTCCCGACTCCTTGCACAGCCCCGGCTGCTCTCCCCGGAGCGTTCCAAAGCTTCCTCCTTAGAAGTGCAGCCTTAAAAGGTTTTGTCCAGCCCCCAGCTCCGCTACCCCTTGTTCCAGGCCAGGGCGGAAGCAAGGGAGATTTCCAGAAGCTCAGGCTAGTCCAAGACCGGGCTGATGCCAGACGTGTCCCCAGATGGTCCAGGCGTGGGGTGGTGCCAATCGACTGTATAAACGCTAATGGAAGCTACAGGGCCGCTCCTGGGGACTGCAGCTTTCTTGGCTCTGGGCGTCCCCACAGAAGCAGGTAGGAAAGACAATCACTGCTCAGACCAGAAATGGGCCTTTGTAGTGAGCCAAGGTAGGGCCACTTCACCCCCCACATCATCCCCGGCCAGCGGGGTTAACAAGCCAACTCCTGCTGTGCCTCTCCTCTGCAAGCAACCAAAGGCTGGTCTCACGCTCAGGCCTGCGACAGAGACCCCTCAACTCTCCGCCTAGCGAGACCCAGCTGGAGCCCACCCCTGGAGCCTAAGATGTCCACGCAACATGCATGCGAGCTGGGCTTGTCCATCCCTCTACACCCAGGGGAGTCAGTGTCACAGCCAGAATGCGCATGACGGGCACCGGGGCTCATCTCAACCGCTCTCCCTGACGCCTGCCAGCTGCCGCGCCCCTCGGCCTCGCCGCGCCGCTGCTCCTCCTCCCAGGCCGCTTGCCTGGTGCAGTTCTGCGGCTGCACCCACGCTGTGAGAGCAGGGCCAGGGCCAGCAGCACCGCATACCTAAGGGCCACGCCTGCGGCTGCTGGAGCCGGGTGTTAGCCACTAGGAATGCAGGAGAGCTGCACCGATTACAACTCCCTGCCCTCTGGCTCGCCGCCGCCCCGAGTGCCTGCAATGATGGTAAGCGCCCCTCCTCCGCCAGGCCGACGCGCCACGGCACTGCCGCATTCACCTCCCGCACTGAAAGAGCATGTGGCCGTTCCACCAGCCCAGTCCCCATGGCGGCTCAGAGCACCCGAGACCTTGCAGTCACGTGCATCCGGGAGAGGCGCGCTGCCTGGCAAACAGGAAGCAGCCCAGGTCAGCATCACAGTGATCCTCTCCCTACCCTGAGCTTAGCCTAAGAGCAATGGTCACATGACGGACAACAGCCCGCCGCAGCAAAGGGACACCTGCAGAGTCCACCTGTTAATGAGGCCAGTGGGTAACAGCAGGCGTGGCAACTGCTTTTGGGCAGGTCCCACACACTGCTTGCTTGCTCACGCGCCTACGCACTCAGAAGAGTGTGGTGGGGCTTTAAAAAAATCAGGTGCTGGAAAATTCCACCCCAGAGCACAAATCAAACAGCCCCAAAGGATTCCCACTGCTGACGGGCATTTTAATGGTGGAAACGGGAAACTCATTGGGGCAGGGGGCTGGACTTGACCTCCTGAGGTCTCTTCCAGCTCTAGGATTCTAGGTTTACAAATATTACCTACTTGGTCTCTTCCCGTGACCTTTTACGGCCTGGGAACAACAATTCCTGCAGCAAAACCGGCTCTGGGTCTTTTGGTAGGTGTGTCCCGGGCCAGCTTCTAGGTGGGCGTGTTAGCGAGTAAATCACTGTTCCCTCCTTGAGCCAAGGGACAGGCAGGGAGAGCGCCTGCCCATGCAAGTCACCAGCTGCTCGGAGCACCAGCTGACACGCCCAGGCTCTGTAAAACCTTGGCCAAGACGGTACCTGGTTCACCTCATTCATGACACACTGCAATGAGAAACGCAGGCAGCAGGTGGCGCTCTGGTCCTGTTTTTTCAATGGGACAGTGCAGCTTTCTCTGTGCTGGTCTTCACTGGGGGGGGGGCGGGGGGTTAACCTGGCTGGCTGGCAGGTGGGTCCCTGGTACTAGCCTGACATTACAGCCAGTCACCGCTTCTTGCAGCTAAAGTGAACTCAAAAACTCCCAGCAGATGGGCAACACACATGCTGCTGGTCTACCAGCCTGTTACCTGTCACTAGTGGCCTGGTACCCAAGTCCCTCTTGGAGTGTGTGTGTGGGGGGGGGGAATGCCCAGCCATCTACAGAAGCCAGAGCCAAAGCTTTTTGGCATATCACGGCGGGGATCTGTGCACCTGCGTTCACAAGGGCAGTAACCCTCGTGCGCAGGGCCAGCAGGCTCACTGGTGCGGCACGCCGGCCGGAGCGGGGCGGCTGTTTCAGTGAAAGGCCAGATCTCACCCAGAAAAGAGGAGGCAGCCCAGGCAGGCGTGGCTGCATTCTCCCAGCTGCTTCAGCACGGGCAAGGCTTCCCGGCACAAGGGCATGCTGGGAGCAGAGCCTCTCCCTCCCCTTCCACAGGCTGCCAAGCACAGGACACTTTTCACAGCACCTCACTTGCACCAGCGGGTGCAAAAGGCCCAGCTAGAGCACGTGCTCCAACCCCCAATACAGAGCTCACCAGGGGGCTCAGAAGCAGAGGAACCCACCTGCAAACTCGCAGGTACCTGGGGCCAGACACTGGAAACGGACGTTTACGCCCAGCGGCTCTGGTCTGCAGTCGGCCGAACGAGGGCGTTTTGCTGAAGAACGTGACGCACAAGGACGTGAACCCTGGAAAGGGGGCGGGGCTGTGGGCAGGCAGAGCGTGCAGAGATCCACGGCAGAGAGGTTTCAGCTTGAACAAGGATAAACGTCTAGGAGAGACCGTTCCCGAGACACCAGCCAATGCAACAGCGACCCCGCAAGCCCAACAGTTTGCAATTTTATTTTTTGGCAGATACACTCCAAGTGATCACCCTGGATTTCAAGAGAAGCCACTGAGTTGTGTTTTGGTTGAAGCACGGTGCGCACGGTCAGAAAGGGGCTGGCAGTGAGGTCTCGCCAGGGCTCTGCTCTCGCTGCTCTTCCTGCAACAGCTGCTGGCGGCACTTGCTTTTCTGAGTGTTCTGGTTTCTTAGGCGTGAGGGACGGTTCCTGGGTGCTAGTGCAGCTGCTCCCGGGGACAGAGCCTCGCGAGTCTACAAACACGGTGCATTCCGCACACCAGCCACCCCGCCCGCGCCAGACAGACTCTGCTCCTGGTCTGCTCCGTTTCATTCGGGTTCCAGAACTCGTACAGCGCAATCCACTTGCTTTTCTGAGTGTTCTGGTTTCTTAGGCGTGAGGGACGGTTCCTGGGTGCTAGTGCAGCTGCTCCCGGGGACAGAGCCTCGCGAGTCTACAAACACGGTGCATTCCGCACACCAGCCACCCCGCCCGCGCCAGACAGACTCTGCTCCTGGTCTGCTCCGTTTCATTCGGGTTCCAGAACTCGTACAGCGCAATCGGCTACACTCCCGTTCGGTTTTCTTCTTCAGTCCACTCCCCACCCCTGCGCAAAGGAGCCCGTTTCTCCTGCTGCTACTTGCGGAAAGCGAAGACCTCCCGTGGTTTCGGTCCCCTCTTGCCCTCGGTTCCTGGTTTCGCAGAAGGCACTTCCACCACCCCCCCGTAAGGGCAGCTCTCCGATTCGGGGTGGTGGCCGGAACACTCCACAGCGGGGATGTAGCCGCTGTCCCACATGCCGGTCCCACACAGCTTGCACAGGTCATGCAGGCTACAGGGGATCCGGGGTAGCAGGCGAAACTGATAAAGCAAACTCCTAGCCTGGCAGGGGAGAGAAGGCAAAACCCATTAGAAACACAGCCAGAGCGGGGCAGCCCCCGGCCCAGCCTGCTTCCTTACCACTTCCAGCACAAGACCTGCAATAGCCTGGCCATGAGAGGGGCGCACACCCTGGGCTCACGCAGGAAAGCTAGACCCGGCCCGTCTCCAGCCTGGGAATTCAGGACTGGACAGTGAGACGCGGCTCCTGCCCCGGGGTGTTGAAATGGGACTACTTTCCTAATCGAGAAGTCGATTATCGGCCACTCGATAAGGGTAGCAGGTGCAGGCACAAGACCTGCAATAGCCTGGCCATGAGAGGGGCGCACACCCTGGGCTCACGCAGGAAAGCTAGACCCGGCCCGTCTCCAGCCTGGGAATTCAGGACTGGACAGTGAGACGCGGCTCCTGCCCCGGGGTGTTGAAATGGGACTACTTTCCTAATCGAGAAGTCGATTATCGGCCACTCGATAAGGGTAGCAGGTGCAGCGCTCAGTCTGGCTTGCACCGGGTGCCAGCCACCCCGCCGC